TCAACTGTAACAGGGAACTAAAGTTAACTAAAGGTCAACTGTAACAGTGAACTAAAGTTAACTAAAGGTTAATTGTAACAGGGAAATAAAGTTAACTAAAGGTTAACTGTAACAGGGAACTAAAGTTAACTAAAGGTTAATTGTAACAGGGAAATAAAGTTAACTAAAGGTTAATTGTAACAGGGAACTAAAGTTAACTAAAGGTCAACTGTAACAGGGAACTAAAGTTAACTAAAGGTTAATTGTAACAGGGAAATAAAGTTAACTAAAGGTCAACTGTAACAGGGAACTAAAGTTAACTAAAGGTCAACTGTAACAGGGAACTAAAGTTAACTAAAGGTCAACTGTAACAGGGAACTAAAGTTAACTAAAGGTCAACTGTAACAGGGAAATAAAGTTTGAAAATGTGGCTGCTCAGCTGAATAGTGATGAAGGAGAAATATGTCGTTTTTTGAACTGGACTGGAGAGAATTGATTAGTAAAGTCCAGGAGGTGGCAGCATTGTACAGCATTGATGGAGGCAAGCTGCTTTTAAAACTAACGAAGAAGAAGAACTCAAACTTCCGGTCCCGTTTCCAAGATGGCGGTGTCTTCAGAGAGTTGTAGCTGGTTCGTGCTGTTGGCAGCGGGAGTTTCTCTGTTTAAATGTTTGTTCATCAACTCTTAGTGAGTAAATAAATGTCCGTGAGCTGCCGGCACGCAGAGGCTAACATGTAACAACACTGTTATTTCTTTACGTAAGAATTTAACCGCAGATATGGACAGAATAATCCGAGCTGTGTGAAGCCTGAACTGTTTAATTTGACCCGTGTCGTGTTTTGTAAGGAGAGGGCTGTCACGTGGTCCACTTTATTTAAGTTTGAAAATTTGAATAACAAATTTGATTATTTAAAATCAGTTATTAAAGTTTATTGTTTTAACTTCTGGTTGTTCACAAAAACCGTTAGGAGGTGGAGCTGAAGTTGGTTTGTGATTCCACAGCTCAGTTGTTCCACGGGTCTGGATCAGGGTCTGGATCAGGTTCTGGATCAGGTTCTGGATCGGGGTTTGGATCAGGGTCTGGATCAGGGTCTGGATCAGGGTCTGGATCAGGTTCTGGATCGGGGTCTGGATCAGGGTCTGGATCAGGTTCTGGATCGGGGTCTGGATCAGGGTCTGGATCAGGGTCTGGATCGGGGTTTGGATCAGGGTCTGGATCAGGGTCTGGATCAGGGTCTGGATCAGGTTCTGGATCAGGGTCTGGATCAGGTTCTACTTGGACTGGGCAGAGCATTTAAAACCGTTTCTGTGGAACATTTATTTCAGTTAAGAAAGTAAATCCATAATTTTTTTCTGGTTTTGAGCTACTGGGTCTCGCAGGAACGGGTTCCGTTAGGACTTTGTTCAAACCTGGACTCGGTCGTCGTCGTACTGAAAGTAGACCCTTGAAACGCAGCCTGTGATGAAACTTTGGCTCAGGAAAATCCTCTTAGTGGACCATTAATGGCCTGTGTGTACAAGGTCCTGCTCAGTCCAGAATGACTCGGTCTGGGTTTGGACACCAGGACTGAGCAGAACTTCCCTTCACTGAGCTAAGAATCAGCTCCGACTTGTTTTAAGAGTTCTCTTCACGCTCGTTTTCAGGTTCTGATTGTAAAATGGTGGTTTTTGCCCAGAGTCTGGCGTGTGAGCCGTCTACCTGTTTTCAGTCACTCCACAGACTTTGAGGTGCACAGGAACTGGCTGGCCGTCACCCACAGCCTGCCGGTGTCCACGTGGTACCATGAGGTCAGTCTCTCCACAACTTTGGTCCTGCTGTGGTGTTTCAGGCTGAACTTGTTGACGGGTCGCCGTCCCCTGACACTGCTGTGTTTCCAGAACACGTCTGAGTGGACTCTGGACTACCCGCCTCTGTTCGCCTGGTTCGAGTTCGGCCTGTCCAAGGTGGCGCAGCACTTTGACCAGAACATGCTGCTGGTGGAGAACCTGAACTACGCCAGCCCGTCCACCGTCCTCTTCCAGAGGCTGTCCGTCATCTTCACCGACTGCGTTTTCATCTACGCAGTCAGAGAGTGAGTTCAGGTTCTGTCCAGTCCTGGTCCAGTCCTCACTTCTTTAGGGTTTCCTTCCACTCATCCAGAATTTTCAGTCTCTCCGTCCTGATCGGTTCTGTCCTCTCCAGGTGCTGCAGGTGCGTTCAGGAGCAGAAAGGCCCGCGGGACATTTTGGACCGACCGTCCTTCGTCCTGGCCGTGCTGCTGCTGTGGAACTTTGGCCTGTTCATCGTCGACCGTATCCTTCCGCTCCAGCAGCAGAGCTTTGGGTCAAATTAACACCTTCAAATGTCTCGGTTCACCACAAAATTACAAGTTGGTCTTTAAATGTTCCTCAAAGGTCCAGAACCTCAGTCTCTTTCATGTCCAGTGAACAGAACCAGAACCTGGATGTGTCACTTAGACACAGGCTTGGTCTAAGCGGGATCCTCCAGCCATCGCCTGTCTTTATGGGTTTTGGTCTGAAGGTGTCTGGAAGCTGCAGGACTCTGGTTTTATTCAAAATGGCTGCAGCTTCCAGACTGGAGACTCGGGTTTGAAGAAGAACTGGATTTCTGGTCCGATTCATTCAACAAACGATACGGGACATTTTCCCTTTGTCATTGGTTTGTGTTTTTCAACTCTTACAAAGTTCAGCTGGCCTTCGGTCTCTGTAAGTCCGTCTTCCTCGAGGTGCTCTGTGAGTCTGGGACTGGGGGCCATTCAGTCCCCACGGTGGTGGACGGTGAGTCCAGTGGGTTGGACACCTTCAGAGTTGGACTCCCGGGGCTGTCGGTTGTCATGGGTTCTGTTCAGAACTTCATGAACAGAGGTTCTGGGTGCAGCCAGAGGGTGGAGGGAGTGCTGTTTGCAGATGATGTGGTCATGTTGGAACCGTGCTGTGATCTCCAGCTCTCACTGGAGCGGCTCACAGGATGAGGACCAGAACCTCCAGATCTGACACTGTGGTCCTCAGTCAGAGGGTGGACCATCCTCTGGGTTGGAGGTTCTGCCTCAAGTGGAGGAGATCAAGTATCTCAGGGTTTTGTTCTCAGTGAGGGAAGAATGGAGCGTGAGATCAACAGATCACTGCAGCATCTGCAGTATTGTGGAATCTGTTCCGGTCTGTTGTGGTGAAGAGGGAGCTGAGCTGTAAGGCAGAGTTCTCTGTTTACTGCTCAGTCTACGTTCCTACCTTCACCTGTGGACTTGAACTTTGGGTAGAAACTGAAAGAACCAGATCCTGGATCCAGGAGGTCTAAATGAGTTTCCTCTGTGGGGTAGCTGGACTCTCCCTTAGAGACAGGGTGAGAAGTTCAGTTATCAGGAGAGACTTGGAGAAAAACTGCTGCTCCTCCACATCCAGAGGAGTCAGCTGAGGAGGTTCACACATCTGGTTTGTACATAGTGTTGGAGAGAAATATTCTCACATTATCTTGTTTTCTCAAAAAGAAACACAGTCGACGGCAGGACAAGATTTTTAACCAGGACTTGACTTGTAAGGTCAAATTTTTAGGACAGGTTACATAAATATACATAAAGTACACGCACGAAGACCATAAATGTACATAAAGTACACCCACGAAGAGCATAAATGCACATAAAGTACACCCACGAAGACCATAAATGCCCATAAAGTACACACACAAAGACCATAAATGCCCATAAAGTACACACACAAAGACCATAAATGCCCATAAAGTACACACACGAAGAGCATAAATGTACATAAAGTACACCCACGAAGAGCATAAATGTACATAAAGTACACCCACGAAGAGCATAAATGTACATAAAGTACACCCACGAAGAGCATAAATGCCCATAAAGTACACACACGAAGAGCATAAATGTACATAAAGTACACACATTAAGACCATAAATGCACATAAAGTACACCCACGAAGACCATAAATGCCCATAAAGTACACCCACGAAGAGCATAAATGTACATAAAGTACACACACGAAGACCATAAATGTACATAA